CTAATCCTATACTCAATGAGGTAAACTATGGAAATCAGCAGGACAGTTCTTTAGAAAACTAAAAACAGAACTACCAATGAGCCAGCAACACTATTCTTGGGAATATACCCAAACAAATCTAAGTGATATATTACAGAGATATCTGAACATCTATGTTCACAGTGACACTGTTTAAAATCACTAAGTTATAAAATTGGTCTATGTCTCCAATAAATGAATAAAACATGATATATGCACTACCAGTGGAGTTCTATTCAGCCATAAAGAATGAAATTGGGAGCTGGAGAGATGGGCCAGTGGTCAAGAGCACTTGTTCCTCTTGCAGAGGGAGGTTTGGTTTCCAACATCCACAGGGTAGCTTACAACATCTGGCTCACAGGGGATCTGACATCCTCTTTTCAATTCCTTATGCGGTAGGCATATACATATGTGCAATAAAAACACATACATAAAATAAAATCTTTTAAAATGACATGTCATTTGCAGAAAGATAGAAAGTACTATCGAATAAAAGGAAAAGAAAGAAAATGTCACAACAAAACCCATGTATTCAGTACATTGACTCCACACTAAGAATTAGGAGGGAGGACTGGAATAAGGTACTGTGTGTGAGCCTAACAACCACAAGGAAATGAATCATGCCAATCCACCTGAGGGAGTTTGTATGCAGATCGTCCTAGGTGAGAGCAAGCATCAGTGGCAGTGACCCCAACACCCCTGGCCTACTAAGCTGTGCCCAGACTCTTGACCCACAATACTGACAAATGTGTACTACATCACACAGCTATATTTGTAATATGCTACTAAAGAGCAGCATAATAGAGCACAAATACTACAGCACACAGTTTTTTCTGAACCTTTTGTTCATACAAAGTACCATGGTTTCTCCAATTTCTATACACATTAATGTCAAACAGTTCAGAACCTACACAGATTAAAACTGACATTTAAAAATGCTTAGGAATATTTACATAGGAAAGTAAATCTTAGAAAGTACCTTGTTACTAAAACAGTTCCTGCACGTTTCTCTTCGCCCATTTGCCAATATCCTGGATTACATGTATAGACAGTGAATCTGATAAGTAGAACATTAAGGCAATTCTCCATATAATTACGCACAAAATGAGTAGGAGACAAGTGGACAGCCAGCAATAAGAACCTACTTACTGGTCAACAGGCAAACTAACCAAGCAGAAGGGAGTCAGTCGGGCAGGCTTGCTGGTGCTAGCACACAACAGAGAGCTCTTCCACCAGCTAAGTTATGCAGCTGTCTCTCAAAGGGCCCACCTGTGCAACTCATCCCACTCCTCCTCCCGCCTCAAGGTTAATTCCCAAAGCAGGACAGGACGGTTGAGGACAGAGGCCACACTTCAGCAGGCAACATAAGGCATTGCCTGTGCTCTTTAATGACAGATGAGCTTACAAGTGAAAAACATTAACCTTGGAAGGGATGGCAGGAGTGATAGTTAGAAGTATGGCTTCCCCTACACAGCAGCAAGCATCTCTTCTGACCCTCCCCAAGAAAATCATCAACTGTAGAAAAGAAAATCCAGGAATGTAGAGCAGATGATTTCAAACATTTTGGCACCTATTGTAAGTGATAACTGAAAACAGCTCCATAAAACCTCACATCTGAACTGAAAATTTAAATAAACCTTCCTAGGAATACAAACCTTACTTAACACACTCAATTTTAAATGATGGCCCAGGCTTTTTCAATGTAAGTAACAGGAGACACCTGAATTACAGGCTATTAAAGTACTTACTCACAGGCAAGCCACACCCAAACATGCTCAAGACAATTAAGCAGCCAAAAGCAGCAAAGAACTGTTGGTTCAATACTTTAATACACTTCACAATCTCACTACCAGACACACAGATACATTGCTGAAGTTCATAGGATTTCTCCAGAAATAATTTTCACTCATTGGAGTTATTTTAAGAGTTCAATTCACCTCTTTTGACAGCTACATCAGGGAATATTATCACTCCTATTGACGGCTTTTATGATCATCAGCGATTTAGTGGGAAAATACAGGCATAAAATAAAATCAAATCTTTAAGATATCAAGGCTTTCAAATGTTAGATGATACCCTTGGAGACTAGTTTTAAAATAAATGGGACCAGAATATTAACAATAATCAAGAGAGAACTTCTGCTCACTATATATACAGTAGTCAACTCACCAATCTACAGAGTAAAGAAAAACAAGCCCTACTTCCTCTAAAAAACCCCATCAAGATTCTAACCATACCGTAATCTCCTTGAGAACTCAAATGTCTACAAGCTGAAATATTTGGGTTATTCACTTCCCTCTAGTTATTTAATTCTCTAGAGAGAAATGAGAATGTATGAAGCCAAGCCTGGTCTACAGAGTGAGTTCCAGGAAGAGAAGTGCTGTCTTGAAAATCTAAATAATAAATAAATAAATAAATAAATGTGTGCAGCCAAAATATACATCCCAAAGAAAGCAAAACTCAAAAGTCACCAGTAAAAACCTCATTCAATTTGGCAACTCATTGCAATAGAGCAGCTTACAAATCTACTTGCCACACTCCTAAGAGTAAAGCAATTTAAAGAGCAATAGTTTGTTTTCTCTTTCAATACATAACATTGAAAGACTACAAAGGAATGTTATCTGAGTATTTTTAGATCCTTATTTTCTGGCTAGGAAACATACAAACATCAGTGCTTTATATAGTTACAATAAGTACTTTCCATTAATTTAGAAATGCTTTTTCTTAATTTTCAGATGGAGTCCATTATGTACCCCTAACAATTCAAAACTGAATCATTGCATATGCCCAACCTTTAACAACTGTAACTGAATAAACACATTGGTAGAAAACATAATAAAAATGAAGTCAATATAAAGAACCAAGTCAAATTATTTATGACTCCACATCTAGCTCTCTCTATCTCAGAATGACTTCTGTTAGTTTTTCTCATGACCCCACTCACTGACATACAGGGACACGTCTCCTTATGAAAAGCCACTAAAGACAAATTTCACCGTTTCTCTCTCAACAATCACTGTACTTTTCATTCCTTTTCACATAAGAATAGTCATTTCTGATCCCCTTAGGCCTTTGTCAACTGAAGTTTCTCACATGAATCAGGAAGCACAGAAAAATGACTATTTTTCTCATATGTCTCAAGAATGATGCATACCTCTAATGGTTCATAATGAACTGGAGGAAAAAGCTAAAATCATTCCACACAATTAATGACTTAGGATTTCCTAGCACTCAACCTCATCAGAGATCGGGATGTGAAAATCTACCCCAGGTTCCTCAGTGTCACTGTCTTCCTAACTACTACTAGGACTACTCAAGTAGGTGCACAAATCTAAGAATTAAGTTTAAAAACAAAAACAACAACAACAACATAAAGCCTGGATTCCAACTGTTGGCAAATAGGTGTTGCCAATTTATTAGGAATTAATAGCAGGAAGACCAGCTATCTGCCCAGCTCTGATCAGTTAGTTGTTTTAACAAAATAAAGACACACACTGACTCTTGTCAATGCCAATCATTAGCCCTGAGAGAAGCCGAATCAAGTGGTAATCAGGACATTAAATATTTCTCTTTTCTTGCCCCTACTCTTGATGATCGTAACTGCTTAATGAAAACATTTTAAAAAGATGCATACTCTTAAAATGCACTTTCTCAGGGAAGTGCAATGCCTCAAATCACAGTAAGACATATTAGTTCTGTTTTCCAAAACCAAGATTTTTTTTAAGATGCCTCAATTTTAGGAAACATTACTATAATTAATTACTGGCATGGCAAAACTCACCATAAAATAAGTTACTGAAGTGGCTAGTTCAGTGGTAACAAGTTTGCCAAACAAGCTCAGTAACCTAGAGTCCCAGAACCTTTAAAAAAAAAAAATAACAAAGTGCCTTTAATCCCAGCACTTGGAAGGAAGAGGCAGGTGGATCTCAGTGAGTTCAAGGCCAGCCTAGTCTAAAACGTGAGTTTCAGGACAGGCAGGACTGTTACACAGAGAAACCCTGCCTCGAAAAAACAAAATAATAACACTGATAGTAGTGGTGGTGATAGTAGTAGTAGCTAAAAGCTAAGTGCTTTCATACCAAACCTGCAAAATATCATAAAGGTGGTGGAAACTAAACATGACATTCTTACGAACTAACACTAGAGACTCATTGCTTTTTAGAACACAGATCAGTAAACACTCCACTTAACCGAATTTCTTACATTTATAAACAGATGAGTAAAAAGGTCTTTACAACAGAAGGGATGGAGTTTGCATGATTCCGTGCTCAAATATTAATGCACAATGCCGGACACATAACGCAAGGAGGTGGGGATGTGCGGTCTGAGTTCACATTTTCACAACCCAGTGCAACCTTTCTCCTGTCTCAAACAACATAGAAGCACATCTGTGACCTCTAAATTTTTCCGTAACTCTAGTCAACGCTTCGAAAGACCCTGACCAATTTTACTGCCTCTGTAAGCAGAGTTGCAATAACTGTAAAGGGTTACCTTAAGTAACTGCTTTTTGAACATTTTCACAATCAGCTTCAAACTAAGCAGTATTGACATTAGCCACATGTAAAGTAGCAGTTTCCTGGAGGGTAATGCAACACTTTGTGTTAACACCTACTCCCAAATAACATGCACCCAGTTAAGTATGTAGAGCTATTTACGGGCGCTCAAGGATTGCACCTTTGTTAGGAGTCGATCCAAAGGAGAGATTAACTTCCTTTTTTTCAAACAAACATCCACGTGAGTCCCTTCTGGCTTTGGGCCTTTAAAATTAGTCGCCCTTCGGCTCCCGAGCAGAACTACACTCAACCACCGATCAACCCCTAACTTCCTGGTGCTAAAAACTACAAACCACGAGGCTGTTTCGTCAGTTTGTTTTAGAACCATTCCCGTTCTATTCACCTCGTGGCGGGGACGGGGGGGGGTGGGGAGTTGAGGGAGGGGCGCTCCCCCAGCTGGGCAGCCGCTGCCGGGGAAGGGGACCTTACCTCCAAACAAGTGCGGGGAAAGGTGGGCCGGTAGCGAGCCGATCACCAGGCGCGGCCCGCCAGGGCCCCCGCCCGTTGGCCGGTCCCGGTCCCTAGCGCCGCCGCCGCCGCCGTCCTCCGGGCTACTGTGCACCGAGTCCTGCGAGCCGTATGGGCCACTGCCGCTGCCGCCGCCGGCGGGGATGCTGAAGGCCGACTGAGCCGCGCGGCCGCCCGCCGCGCTACCCACCGCCCCTCCGAGCGAGCGGCTGCGGGGCGCTGTCGGGGCCGAGGCTGTCGGGGCCGAGGCTGCCGCCGCCGCTGCCGCCGCGCCGGCCGAAGCACTGGGCTGCTGCGCGCCGGGCACCGGGGCGGCGAACCGGGCCGCCCGAGCGCCGTCCGCCCCGCCGCCGCCGCCGCCGCTGCCGGAGGGCAGGTCCGAGCCCGAGTAGGCGCGGGTGCGGCCGTTGGCGGCGGGGCCGCTCTGCTTGGCGCCCATGTCCGCGCCGCCCCGGGCCGCGAGCGAGCGAGGGAGCGAGGCGGTCGGGACGCAGCTCGCGGCTGGTGCTCAGGTGGCCGTGCGGTCGCGGTCGCTGCCGGGCCGCCGCGACGGGCCGCTACCGCTCGCTGCCGCGCACCGCGGCCTCCGCACCGCCTCCTCCCGGGCGGCCGCCGCTACCGCCGCCATCCTCCGGCTCCCCGGCGGCTCGGAGAGTGGGAGGCGCCCGGCTGGACTGGGGGCCGCCTCCCTGCGCGCCAGCCGCTCGCAACGGGGAAGAGGCACGGGCGACGCGCGCCCCGGCAACCGTCGCCCTGCGGCCCGCACAGGAGAAGCCGCGGCCCAGGCGAGGCGCAGCGTAGAGATTGGGTCCCGCTGGCCTGTCTCTGCCCCACAGCCAGGCTTGCCCGCCCTTGCCCCGCCCAGCATGTGGTGATGGACAGACGGGTGGCCCCGCCCTCCAGGCCAAGCTCCGGGCACCAATCAGAAGACGGCCCCTCCTCCCGCACGTGGCCTGTGGACGCTGGAAAGGAGCAAGTGCACCTTTTCCTGGCTGGGCCGTTGCTGGCGGTGCCCAGTGTCTGGAGCGTTTGGATGGGTGAATGTGACCTTCGCTGGTGTTGTGTACACTGATTAAGCAAACAAACAATTCCGTCTCAGCCATGAGGACGATTTAAAGCAAGCAAACAAACAAACAGTACGGGGTCGAAGGACAGAACAAAACAACTGGAAGGCTGAAGTCAACTTGTTCTGAATTATCCCGGGGAGGGGAGCACAAAATTGGAAGAACGAATACTAATCCAGCCTGACCTTCAAGGGTAGAGCAAAGAACTGAGATGCAGGGACCATCTTCTCCCTTAAACCCGGCCTTCAGGCCAATCTATGCAAACTGTTAATCATTTTACCTTTTTGGATTTTTAGCTTCCTTGCCCATAATGTCTGAATTAAATCTCCAGGGCACTAGCAACTTTAAAATCTTGTGGTTTCTCTAAACGGAATGTAACAGAATCCTCAGTGCCTTCCTGTGCGTGCTGCTTGGGCCGGCCAGTTCTGACTCTCCCATTTGGAGAATGCCGGAAGCATTGTCTGCATGGAAAAACAGCAAGTGTGTTTGTACAAACTCCAGAAACGAATACGTTGTCACGTCTTTTCCCTTTTGTATTTACAGTGAGTCGTTCATGTAGTGATTTTCGTTACTCTTTTAAAAGGTATGGGAATTGAGAGAGAGCGTGGGCATAAATGTTTTGACTGCATGTATGTTTGCCACAGGTGTGCCCGGTGCCTATCATGGAGTTCGGAAGAGGGCATCAATTACCTTGGAACTGGAATTATGGTTAGTTGGCTGCCACATAGGGTGCTGGGAATCAAACCCAGTGCCTGCACAAAAGCAGCCAGGTTCTTAACCGCTGAGCCATCACTTTAGCCTCAATTAGGGGTTTTTGTTTGCTTGTTTGATTGTTTTTGGTTTTGTTTTTAAGAGAAATGAGGCCCTGTGAGCAGACTTGCTCTCGTTCCCATCTTCTGGAGGAATTGAATCACTGGAGCCTTAGAATTCAAAGTCAGCCTGAGAAACAGCAAAAAACCATTCTCAATAAGAAGAGGAAAGAGGGAGGAGGAAAAGGAAGGGAGCATCAAGAGGAAATTCATTCGATATATATATATATATATAATATACAAGTATAGCTATTCTGAGTACCCTGTGTTATGTCACCACTTGATTAAATGTCTTTTCCCTGCCCATGTTACCAGCCACCTCATTCCCAGCACTGAAGAAAATGCTGTGTAATAAACCCATCATACTCTGATCAAGGTATTAAACTTTTCATTAGACACTTGTCAGTCTGTGTCAGCACAGGAGCTTTTCAGTGAATGAGTGTATTCATATTTTCCAACCATGCCAAAATGATTCCTTTAAAAAGTGCTTTTACATTTATTTATTTGTATATACAAATGTGTGAGGGTACACTCGTGCTGTGGCATTTGTGTGACACACTTGTGTGACAGAGAACAACTTGCAGAAGTTCTTTCCTTCCACCATGTGGGTTCTGGGGGTTCAGTGCCTTTACTTGCTTGAGCCACCTCACTGGTCCTAAAACGATTCTTGAAAGTCACTCGTGAACTCGCATTATTACTCTTGGACGGCACCAGTGTGAAGGGGCTCTTCTCTGTTCTTTCCTTGGTCCTCTTCTCTCTCTCCAAATAGAAATCCTCATGACTGTGTTTTATTGCCAAGCCTCTGTAACTTCACTTAGGATTTGTAGCTTCACATCTCTTTGGTAGACGTGTTCTTCCTTCTGTATGTCTCCATTGGTTCCTTAATGAGTAGCAAGGGGCAGGAGCCGACCAGGCAGGATTACGAACACACGTCACAGAGTAGGTACATTCAAACGAGGGTTAGGCCTTGCTTCTATTTAATGCCGGCTTTGGGACTCGGGGCAAGCCAAGCCACTTGCTCTAGCTAAACCTGATTTCTGTAAAATGTGTAAAATGTCCACAATCATAGTACCAGTCTCAGAGTACCTGGGAGTCTCAAAAGATCCAATGTCTGTTTCAAAGTACTTTGAAATTTGTTGTTCTACCTATCATGGAATAATATTGTACATATTGTCTATAGCAGATTGTGACACTGTACAGTTTAGAATATGCTAAAACTTGGTGGACTTGATTTCACTGTTGTGTACAACTGAACTACATTGTTAACACTTAAAGTATCATTATTAATTGATGAGTAGCCATTACTGTATATACATCACCATAATGGCTCGAGTGGATAAGCATAGAAAGACTGGAGGTTATTTGAAATCTTTGATATTTAAAGTTTTTTTAAATGAACTTTTCTTTATTTCATAGAGTAGTTAACACTTTGAATAGTCTTTGGTGTCCTAAATAGGCTTCGGCGTGTCACAAAAAATGCTTCATGTTAATGAGCTGGCAAGCAGAACCCTGTGTTATGTTTAACATAGATTTTAGAATCTCTTTCTTTTCTGAAAACAGCTGAGACACAATGTCAGCACCTGTTCATGAAAATAACTTGATTTTTACTTATCAAATAATACAAAGTTATTAATAAGAGATTAAATATATGTATTATATTTAATAAATATATAACATGTATTATATACTTTCAATTTGCTTTGGCTTGCAAACAATCTTTTAATTAAGAAACTTGGGACTGAGGAGATATCTTAGTCTATAAGCCATTTGCCACACAAACATGTGGACCAGAGTTCAGTCTCTACAGTCTACAGTGCTACGCAAAAAGACAGGCAAGTTAGTATGACTTGTAATCCTAGATCCAAGGAGATGGGACATAGGAGGATTCCTGAGGCTCACTACCCTAATCAGGGAGATCCAGGACTCAGTGAAGAGACCCCTGGCCCCAAATAAATAAATAAATAATGTGGAGGGCTCCTAAGGAGTGACAGCCACGATTGGTCTCTGGTTTCCACACTACATGCACAGACATGTGCACACATAAATGAACAAACATACTTAATGTCCACACACATGTATACAAACACACATATACACACCCTTTATTTCAATCTACTTAGCACAAAGTAAGCATAACCTATGATGTTTTTCCTGCATTCTAAAGAAACCTCTTAGATTCCGTAGTGTTGTAAAAGACTTAACTGGAGCCATACCGTTGCAAAGGTACAAAAACTTAGTGGAAAGGATGTCATGGGCTCAGTACCAAGGGGATTTCCCAGCCTATGGAAGTGAAAAGGAGCTTAGAGGAAAAAAATAGCTCTCTGCTACATAATGTATGTGTTCTTTCCTCCAATGCATATGCACCATCCAGTCTGCTGCCACTTTCCCAAATCCCTGTGGTAATACATGAATGATTAAAAAGTAGCATAAGACACTGCCCTGTACCACCACCTCCCTCAAGGGTAGCCAAAAGCCCCAGTAGAGGCAAGCCCTGTATTTTAGGCCTGGATTATCTTACAAGTACAGGGGCTCTAGCTTACTGTATCTTTAACTCCCCACAGTGAATGCTTCTCCAGAGCTCTGAGACAGTCTGCAACTAGGAGGCTTTCAGAGCCTGTTGTGGATCATAACGGCAGGCAGCAGTAATGAATGGACGCCCTAGATTGCCCCGACTTAGCTAGCTGTTATTACCATGCCAAGTGTGTTGCCCTCTATGTTTTACTGCCAAAGAAGTCTATACTTTAAGTGGTAAATTCCCTTGGGGTGACATCTGAATGATCTTGGCCCCAAGTTAGGGCAGGTGGGAAAGAGTAAGGTCAGAAATGCAGGATTACCTCTTGCTGGGAATGAGAAGGCAAACTGGGTGGTGAGAGCTACTGGTCAACCTACCACTCCCTTCCCAGAAGCCAGATGCTCTTTGGCTGAACTCTAGAGATCCAAGTCTGAACCAATAGGTTTTGGAACACAGCCCTAAGCAGGGTCATCCCTGGTACACAGAAACTGTGGGATACATCCAGACCCCTATGGAAGATGTCTCCATTCTTAAACCAACATTGGCTCCACATGTGTTATGTTAGCACCAGAGACTCAAAGTTAACCAAGGACCCTGCTCTTAAAACCGTATGGCCTGCAGCCACCATGCCTAGACAGAAAGAAATAGTTCAAGTATGGAGTAATGGCACACCGGAGCCAAAGGACGGAAGTTGGACAAAGAACAAAGATGGGACCCCAAATCTTGAGACAGTTGCCTTACGCATCTGTAGATATCCTAAGCGGCAGGAGTCTGGCTGAAGCAAAGGAGAGGTCTGAGTATCCGAAGAACTACAAGCATTTCACTTGCTGGAATGAAGAGGAGGAGACAAGGAAGTCTGAGGACCAGCTGGAAGAGTGGGCTGGGACAGAGTCCAGCTGGCTTGGCCCGCTGGGCGAGGATCCAAAAGGCAAAAGAGAACTGCTCTCCTAGGCAGTGTAGCATGGTCGTACTTAGATTTTTGAAAAGATAGGTTGTTGTCTCGGGCGGCATTTTGGAGAATGGAGTGATGGGAGTTGATGTAAGCACACAGGCAAGCGGAGAGACTAGAGTAGGGGGCGCTGAGGGCTGGTGACAGACTGAAAGAAGGAAGAGGAGGAGACGGGGCATGAGCTTTCTGACCAGTGCTTCTAGTGC